ACATGGCTCTCTTATTAAATTGGAACTTTGAGGAAAGCTCTGCCTTGGACTCTGATTTAATTCTGGATGATATTTGGAACGGTGACACCTAGGAGGGTGGGTTGTCTGGGATAGCAATAGCAATAGCAGTTAGACTTATATACCGCTTCATAGGGCTTTCAGCCCTCTCTAAGCGGTTTACAGAGTCAGCATATTGCCCCCACAGTCTGGGATGGTTTAAAAACAGGACTTAGTAGAATATGCAAACATATCTATTAAATGAAATGCATACCATCTTGTACTCACCTAACGTAGCAGAAATATTCTACATTCTGGATGGTTTGATCTTCCTTGTTAAGAGGAACCGCTTCCTCATTTTCAAGAATTAGGTCTTGCCAAGCCGTACTTTCCTCACACGGATCAGCCTGTTCCTTGTAATAGCAGGAACAAACAAAATAAAACTTAGATTAGAAAACACAGGGCGGTGGGGGGGGGGGGGTAGCCAAACAGCACTGCAATGTTTTTTTGTTTGCCTTGTTTCATTTCAACTTTTAAAATGGCAGGAATGGCACACCAACCCTTTGCTCTCTTCCGGATTCTGTTACTCCAGCGCGCTCTAGTTTCTGTGGTGCCTAAAAGGTTAACCATCGCTGGTACATAAGATCAAGCTGTTAGAGGCTTCTTGAGTTGCAAGGGTTTTTTGTTTTTAAAAAAGCAAGTTGAATCTTTTTAAAACTTCTGCAAAGTACAACGTTACAGAATGCAGACAGCAAATATACCTATAGATAATTCTGACTGGCTCATGAGTCCTACAACTCAAGAAGACAATTATTATATGGATGAAGACTTGATTTTTTTTAAAGAACCGTTTAAAAAAAAGAAGAAGGTTAAAGGCTATGTAGGGCACAATAGTATCACTGGAATTTTCAATCATTTTCTTCATTTTTGGAATAAAAAAACCCACCTAAATTACAGTAGGGTTAAGAATTCCCCTCTCCCCCCTGCAGGATCCAATCTGGGTCGGTCACTGGGACCTGAGGTTTAGACTTCTGAGTTTTCGGACTCGTGTTGAAGCAGTTCTGCAGGGAACTCCTCTCTAGCTCTCTGGTAACCAACCCAAGATTGGATCCCCCAACATTATCCTGGGACATGTAATTTCACCTTCGTTCATAACTTTTTTCCCCTTCCAATATCACACTGCAAACCAGTGGTTCTTTGGTGTTTTGTTTTGTTTTTTTGCAAAAACCACTGTTTTGCAGTGTGATGTTGGAAGAGTTCTGGAAATAGGCAGAAAAAAGACCTTAGTCTTGCCTAATGATTACAGGTTGCCAAATTTATCCTTACATGTTGTTTTCATGTGGGTGGAATCGATCAACTGGTCCCTTCTTGGTGGAATTTAATCTAGCAGAAATATTAAAATAGAAGTAGCAATAGCACTCAGACTTATATACCGCTTCACAGGGCTTTACAGCCCTCTCTAAATGGTTTACAGAGTCAGCATATTGTCCTCAACAATCTGGGTCCTCCTTTTACCCACTTCCAAAGGATGGAAGACTGAGTCAATCTTGAGCCGGTCAGGATTAAACTGCTGGCAGTGGGCAGAGTTAACTATAGCCATTAGCACTTAGACTTATATACCGCTTCACAGTGATTTCCAACCTTCTCTAAGTGGTGGACAGAGTCACCCTCTTTCCCCCAACAATCTGGGTCCTCATTTTACCCACCTCAGAAGGATGGAAGGCTGAGTCAACCTTGAGCCAGGTGAGAGTCAAACTGCCAAACTGCTGGCAGCCGGCAGTCAACGTAGCACAACAAAACCGCGCTCGTCAAAATAGCGGTGATAAAACCGTGTTGCTAAAGCCGCGACGTCATCACCACGTGTCATCACCGCCGCGACAACAGCGTGGCGACAGAAGGGCGCTTTAAAACAGCGCAGCGGCAGAAAATTAAATTAATTTAAATTAAGGTTAGGATTAGGTTTAGGGGTTTGCTTTAGGGTTAGGTTTAGGGTTAGGGTTAGGTTTAGGTTTAGGGTTAGGTTTAGGGTGCTGAGTGCTTCGGAAGGCGCGGATTTGCCCTCCGCCCTTATGTCAGCGCGGTAAGGTCGCATTTGCTTTAGTGATTCGGACGGCGCGGATTAAGGTTCGCGCTTATGTCTCTGCGGATAAGGGCTTCGCGGTATTGTGGTGGAACCGGCAGTCAACAGAAATAGCCTGCAGTACTGCACTCACACCACTGGGCTACTTCGGTTTAAAATTAAAATAATTTAAAATTAGGAAATGGGAACAGAACATGTCTCCTTATCTCCCCACCTATGTAAGAATTTTCAATTCTGGTTCCTAAAAAAAGAGAAAAGAAAGGAAAACAAGCCCGGAAGATTTACATTTAAATTAAAACTAACGCTTCGACAAAAACAATAGAATTTGAGATAAAACAATAAAGCTGCTCCTTACTTGGTTTTCTTTTATCCAGGACAATAATCCCGAGAAGCTAAAACTTGCCCAATTTCCTCCATAATAACTTCTCCTGTGGCAGCAGAGGGGAGAAGGGAAGAAGAGGGGGAAGAAGAAATAAGGTCAGCAATTTCCTTTATTGCAAGAATTCTGTTATCGTGTTTCCCCGAAAATAAGACAGGGTCTTAATTTTCTTTTGACCCCCCCCCCGAAATAACCACTAGGCCTTATTATTTTTGAGGTGCAGGAGGCAGCAAGCGTGGTCACCTCATGGATGCTGCTGTGTTGCAATATTTTTGGGGAGGGCTTATTTTCGGGGGAGGGCTTATTTTCTTTCTCAGAGAGTCAAGGACACCTTGCCCTGCACCTGAAGGGGCGTGACTGGGGGGACAGTGCCTGATTGGACCATGGGATGGACATGTGGGTGCTGAGCAGGGACTTGGACTTTCATTTGGGTGGAGAAAACCTGGAAGCTTTCAGATTCGGGTTTTCCCAGATGTGCCAATATGACATCTCTAATAAAATGGGAGTTTGAGGAAACTCAAAGCCTCGGAGTCTTTATTCAATGGAATAAAGTCTTTATTCGTTGGAACCCTGACAAATTTTCAAATGTCAAATTTTCCAAAAGTGGATATTCCAATTCTTGATCACTCAGGATCGTAGATCATACATCTTCGTTTTTCGGCTTCTGTGTTATCGTCCTGACCCATTCCAGAGCTCGTCAAGGCTTTGGACGGGTCAGGCTAGCTGCTAATCGCAATTCAGCAATAGATCTCCACTGAGCCCCTGGTCTCGGAGCCAAAGGAGACCTTCATAAATGTCGGGATTTTAGAAAAGTGTCATGGATAGACATGCAAAAGCAGAATTTGCAGGGAGGAAGCCTAGTTTTTGCCGTGAACGCCAGCCAGTTAGGAAAGCCGCCTCTTTCAATACAGTCGTCGCCCTGGGGGGCATGGGGGGGATGAATCAAAGGCAAGGTCTGGGAAGAAGCGGTGGCGGTTGATGCCTGGTGATTTCTCCAGAGAGCTGCTTGCACGCATCTTCCTCTATTTGATCTCTTTCTGGAGGGAGAAGGAAGGGAAACAGAGGAGGTCCGGCTGTCATCCGAGTGAGTTCTCCCTTAACTAGCAAACTTTCTCCTGCATCCCCGTTAAAAGCAAGGATGTACAAAGTCATCGGCATCAAAGCTTAAGACATTCCAATCAGCCGTCTTGAATGAAGCGGTTATTATAGTGTTAGTTTTGCTTGTTGCCAACCATCTAACCCGGAGGCAGTGGTGAAATTCAATAACCCGGTTCTGTGGGTGTGGCTTGTTGGGTGTGGCTTGGCTTGGCTGGCGTTGCAGGGGAAGGATACTGCAAAATCTCCATTCCCACCCCACTCAGGGGCCAGCCAGAGGTGGCATTTGCCAGTTCTCCAAACTACTCAAAATTTCTGCTACCAGTTCTCTGAACTAGTCATAATTTCCGCTACCGATTCTCTGAACTAATCATAATTTCTGCTACCAGTTCTCTGAACTAGTCATAATTTCCGCTACCGATTCTCTGAACTAATCATAATTTCTGCTACTGGTTCTCCGAACTACTCATAATTTCCGCTACCGGTTCTACCGAACCTGTCAGAACCTGCTGGATTTCACCCCTGCCCGGAGGTATCAAATTCAATTTCACACAGTCTCCACCCATGCCCCGTTTCAGCTGGTAAAGTGTTGCAGGAGGCCGTTCAAGCTGAAAATGGGGCAGAGGGGGCTGAGTGCGGCCTCCTTGTGCCCCATTTGACCGGCAGATGGGTGTCCGTCCCATCTCACCACCACCACCAGCCTCCCCCCACCAGCCCATGGAGAACTACAACGCTGATCCGGCCCTCGAAGAAATACAGTTTGACACCCCTGAATTAAAGGGACATGTTTCCTTCCAGCTTGAGTTTCTGATTCCTGATAGCACATTCCTTCAGAATATCTCCCAGCGTGATCAGGGCTTTAATAGAAAGGAGACAGAGATGAGATTTTTTTTTTAAAAAGAAAAAGGATTTCAATACCCTTAAAGGATATTGTAATGGTATGGCTTTATTGACCAATTGGATCTCAATTCAAATTCTTGGTCGGAGATAATTCCAAGACCTAAAAGATAACGACTTTCTGCCAAGCCATGTCAGGCAAATCCATCCACATTTATTTAGTAAACAATGATGAAACACTCATGGCTTAGCATAATATGAGAAATCAGCCACTAATTCCAATCATTCATTGTAATGTCGTACTTCAATAGGGACAAGATATATTAAAACCAAAGAAAAGTTTCTCCTTCCACAATGACTAAGTTAAGTTTTGCTCTTAAGCCTTGTCAATAATACTTCCATGACAGCTTTACCAAGGTCTCTGAAATGCTTGAGCTTTTGATCAATTAATTGGAAATCAATTGAAAAATGATGCCTTACTGATAAAAAACTGTTGAAGAATGAATGAGCCAAATTGATTGCTAGGTACTCTGTTTCCCCAGAAATAAGACCTCCCCAGATAATAAGCCCAATCAGACTTTTGAGTGCATGTGCTAAAATAAGCCCTCCCCAAAAATATTGCAACACAGCAGCAGCAGCCATGAGGTGACCACAATCACCGTCTCCTGCACTTCAAAAATAATAAGACCTCCCCAAAAATAAGGCCAGGTGCTTATTTTGGGGGTCAAAAGAAAATAAGACACTGTCTTACCCTGTTTCCCTGAAAATAAGCCCTCTCGGATATTAAGCCCAATCGGGCTTTTGAGCGCATGCGCTAAAATAAGCCCTCCCCTAAAATATTTAAACGCATGTTCAGCCGGTCCCCGTCATTTCCTGGAGGAGGGTGTAGGGGGGAACATGCCCCATATGCCCCACATGCACCTGCCATCCACATGGAATGGCTTCATGGAGTCCACTCCCGGAAACCCTAGCTCCCGCGACCCTTTAGTGGCGGACACAAAAAGAGCACCAGGCCCAGTGACACTAGGACTGGCAAGAATGTGCCAGAAACAGAGACAGCCCTCTCTGGATCAGCTGATCCACAGGGCGCAGTTAAAGGGCCTCCTGCACCTTAAAAATAATAAAACCTCCCCCAAAATAAAGCCAAATGCTTATTTTTTGGGAGGGGGGTCAAAAGAAAATAAGACCCATGTTTTCCCGAAAATACTGTGTTCCCTGAAAATAAGACCCTGTCTTATTTTCAGGGAACACAGTATTTTCGGGAAAACATGGTAGAAGATGGGGAAGTTAAAGAAATAAATTGCTCTCCTGTTCCCTTCCCCCCCACTGCCATGGGGGGGGGGGAAGAGCAGCGTCCCCCCAAAATAAGATTTGCAAAGATGGAAAGTGAGGTGACTGGGGAGGAAAATCTTCATGCATACACAAATTGCTTCCCCCTCCCCAACTAAATTTCCATTCAAACTTTTGCAACTTCCAACTTTAAACTCAATGCCAAGCCGGTGTATTCTGAATTGCAAATTACTTTTCTAAATCATTTAGCATCCATCCTTGAAATTCCACATGTCAACAGCTCATTAATACCTACAGTCAATGTAGCTCTCTGAAAAAGAACCAATGGTTGGGTTGTTGTTTTTTTAAAAAACATTTTATTGAGACAGATAGCTAAAGAAAGCCTCCTTCAATTACAATTTGGCAGAAGCTAACTTTAGTTTTAAAACACGATTATAGGAATTTATGACCGGGCTGCAATGGAAGTGACTATTTTGAATATGATTAGCGGTCCGGAGAAGGAGATGCTGCGGGACGGTGTTTATAAATCAACAGAGGTGCTGCTCAGTGGTTTATAATGGTTCACTTCAGATCATCCACCATCATCACCTAAGTGGTATATTATGATAAACACAAAACAGTGGTGAGAGATTAAAAGTGATAAGATTCTCTCGGGGTAATGAATCCAAGCACCGTTGGAACCTAAAAGCAGATCAAAAGTTTCCTTTGGCTCTCAAGTTACTTCCACTCACTCACCTAAGTTTTCCACCTAATTCCCATCAGAAAGTAAAGGTAGTCCTTGACTTACAACAGTTCATTTAGTGTTCATTTTGTCAGTACTGTTCAACAGTACAGTGGGACCCCGAACGGCTCAGACCACGAACAATTCAGGTGCCAAACAAAATATCCCCTAAATGTGTCGCAAACATATCCTTGGGTGCCAAATAAACCCAGCTGTGGCTATTTTCCCCGCCACAGCGATTTCCCCTTCTGCACCATTTTTTGTCCGTGCGTGCATGCACAGTCAGTCTTCTTCCGGTCACCATCAAATCGGGTGCTGACCGAAGTCCGGGAACGGATTACGATCGGCACACGAGGTCCCACTGTACTGGAAAAAGCAACTTTTCTCACTTATGACTGTTGCAGTATCCCCATGCTCACATGATCAGGCTTGGCAATTGACTCATATTTATGATGGGTGCAGCGTCCCCGGGGGGGGGGGGTGTCACGTGATCCCTTTTGCGACCATCTAATCAGCAAAGTCAATGGGGGAAGCCAGATTAGTTTAACAATGGTGTAACAGCCTTAATAACTGCAACGGTTCACTTAATGAAGGTGGCAAGAAAGGTCGTACGATGGGGCAAAGCTCAAATCTCTCACTTAGCAACATAAATGTTGGGTTTCAATTGTGGTCGTAAGTCGAGGACCACCTGGGAAAGATTTAAAGTGTAACCAGCACCAATAAAAAGCAGATTGATAAGGGTGGTCAATATTTAGATTCTCCACCTCATATGCTACTTGCCTAAGAAACCCATGCAAAATTGAGGGATTAAATGTTGAGAGGTAAATCCAGTAGCGGTTTCTACCTTTTCTTTAACTAAATTTGAGTTGCATTCTCTTCTCTTGGAATTGTATTTCTAGAGGAGGGAAGGTGGGGGGAACAATTATTTCAAAGAGATGGAATTGCTTGCAGAAGGAAGAACTGCAGGCTTGTGAGTTAAATGAAAGCAAGAATCTTTTTCCCATTCGGGTTTGGGTAGTGCAAATACATAACTATTATACATAAAAGTTGTGAGCAACCTTTCTATAAATATTGTACCTAAACCTATTAATAGGGAAAAGTAAACTGTCAAGATATTGCTTAGCACAATTTAAAGCTTAACACTTTTTCTTCCCAA